TTCACTACAGTTTTCTAAAATCTGGCTAAACGATTACGGCAGATATCTATTGTCAGCAACTGCAAACCATGAAGGAAGAACTAGCTGCTAAACAACCGAGATTGGTCAATCGCTCTAGGCCACTGCTGCTTCACGACAACGCAAGACCACACACTGCACAACAAACAACCACTAAGTTAGATGAGCTACAATTGGAATGTCCGCGACATCCACCGTACTCCCCGGAACATTCAATGCGAGTTTTTATTCCTTTTGTGAAAAAATCTTTACCCTTCATTTGGGCTCCCCGACAAATTTTGATAAGGCACGCTACTCCACTGACATCTATACAAATAAATAAAATTGAAGTCTGTAATGTCAAAATTACGGCTTTTTACTAAATGCATATGAAAGTATATACGATACTTATAACAAAAACACAATTTTTAAAATTTTTGTCTGTCTGTTTGTTCCGGCTAATCTCTGTAACGGCTGGACCGATTTTGACGGGACTTTCACTAGCAGCTAGCTGATGTCATAAGGAGTAACTTAGCGATACTTTTATTTTAGAAAAATAATAAGGGTTCCGCGCAAAAAAACTAAAAACCCAAATAACACGCGGGCGAAGTCGCGAGGAACAGCTAGTCTGAAATAAATTTCAAATCACGTTGAAAAGATGCGCACATAAATAATGACTGTTTACTTAGTAATAAACAAAATCAATGTTAGATTGTCGTAAACGAGGTTTGCGGTTTAGAAAACAAAGAACTAATCGCCCGCTCGCAGTCGACTAAATTTAATCATAAAATAAAGTAAATAGATCCTTACCAACCTGATGAAGAATTTGTCTAACAAAATCCAGATAACTAAAATAACATGATCTTGAATTTTAGTAATGATGCTTTTGAACCATAATTATGATGATTTTGCTGTACTTTTATTTACCAATATGACCAGCATTTCAACTTGAATAGGGATTAATTGAAAAAAATATTTTAAATTAAACAGCCTTTCAATAAATATAAATATATTTAAACAGATTAGTTAACAAAATGAGTACCAATTAAAAGTTAAATACAACTCTGAATTAACATAATGAATGGAATGTCAACATATTTATAATTCAGGTTTATTTGTAATGAACACCAAAACTGATTGGTAAAGTACCACCATATACATGCTAAGTGTCTTTTTACAACAACTTAAGTTTACATAATTTGCCAGTAGAAAGTTAATGCGCAGCTCGCTTATAATAAATTAAAACTATATTGTGACCAATAGAATTCGCAACTATAATGAACTTTTGTAGCAACTAAACTAAGGGCAACGAGACTAGATAAAGAATGTAATCGCTCAGACATTTACCGTGTTAAGTGTGTTAGCGATTAATATATCTTTCATTGCTTTTTTAACGTAGTTATTATATGGTCTTTGCAACGCAATAACATCAGAAATTGCTATATTTATTTAATATGTCACGATTTGTTTTAATTTTACGTTTTGTTTGCCATGTTGCCATAAATTAATAATGGTTATTGGTGTTGTAGTATGTATACGTATGATTGCATTATTAGTATGAGCATTGACCTTCACATGCGCATGATTTTAGTTCATCACGCATCATGGTAGTATAAGATGAAGCGTCAGGACTGCCACACTAATTCCTCCAGATTGGTTCGTTGTTTGATTCTTAATCAGTGATTGGTGCAAGTATCTCAGTTCGTGTAACTGCTTAAAAAAAATCGCAAAACTATGCCTGCAAAATTATTCATCGTTGAAAACTAGTCAGCACAAGCACACGCTATAGCTTTTTCTAGCAGTTTTTTGTCGTGTATTGAGCCTTATGTTGACATTATATAGACAATAAAATAGTATCATAATAAATTTGTACATATATTTCAAATACCGGTTATAACGATTAGTACCTACGGACAATTTTAAATTTGTAGTAAATTTTATTGTATATTTTTTTTTAATTTATCACTCCTGAGAATTTGTTTACATTCTTTACCCCGCCACGCCGGTCTTGATATAGATATATTTTTATAATTCCGATCTTAAATTGATTGGTAGCTTGTACATTTTCACACAACAGATTCTTAATTACGTCATGACGACAATAAAAGATTAACTATTGTACTAATCTAGCATCTCCATCCAATTTGTATCCGAAACGAGTTTTATCGGTAATTTATTTGTTGAAGTGACATGCATTAAAATTTTTATTCGGTTTAAGTTTAACATTATTGTTAAATGTTTACTATAATACGGACACGACCCACGTGATCATTGAGGCAACAAAAGAGTTTTCTTATTTCAATTAAGTACCTACAAATTACATTTGAAATATACTCGTTTATAGTTTTTATTCGTTAAATACCTACAAGAAATAAAAAATTTGTCATTATTAGTCCGATAAAGTATTATGAAATAATTTATTTAATTAATTGAGTCAAAATATTAAAAAAAATTATATTATAATTTTATCTAATACAAAATTAAACACGCTTTAAAGATTCTTACCTTTAAAAGCGGTTGTTGAGCGCCGCCGCGCCCGTATTCATAAAGTTCGGATTCATACGGAAGTCGGGATAGAACGAAAGGGCAACATCGCTTCGTTTATTTTGAAGGCACATTTTATTGACCACTATCGACATTCGCCTTGTGAAAAGTGAATATACACCAACAAGAAATACTGAATGTATTTAATTCATTTTTGTACGATAATAAAACGCTATATAGAGTTGTTGTTATCTTTTATTGCCTTTAATGAAGCGCCATTCATATAATTGTAAGAAACTGATGGTAGTCTGTCTACCCCTCTGGACGACAGGCGTGAGAGTTAATGGATGTATGTAACAATCCAGAGGTCACTTTTGTTTTAATTACGACAATAGACGGTCATTGAGGATTTTTATTTGTGAAGCCTATGTCGTACTATACTATATAATGACTGTCTCAACATCGTAATGATATCTCATATATTCCGTAATTTTCAGTTGTCGATTTTTAAATTTACTTTCGTGTACTGATATGGATACAAAAAGGATTAACAAAAAAAAATCACAAGTCAACCTTCAGTTCTGATCTAATTTGCATAATTTCCTTCTAATCCAAAGTGATATATATTATTTATATTACATTATGTACACTAATAAACATCACACTATTGGTGCCTATTTAAATTTATTGCAATATTAATTTAACTCACAAGTTCCATAAATTACTACATAGTAATATCTAAATTTCTCCAATAAGTCTACATTTCGTAATAAAAGAACGCAATTTTGTATCAGTGAAAACAGGATGATGTAAACTTCGTTCATTTGGACGCGTAGCCGTGAGACGTTTAGCGGCCTTGTGCATTGTCAAAATCATAATATCCTAAATTCAAAGTGACACATAAAAACTAAAACATAACTCAGCCAAACTAGCAGCAAGATAGCGACGTTTATTTAACGAGTACTACTAATACACGGACTCAATATAAAAACTGTGTCAATCGTTCACGCATTGATTTAGGATTTTTATCTTTATTGTTAAATATTTTTTTTTAAATGTACACTGTTTGACTCCCAATCTTTATATATAAAAATTACGTGTCACATTGTTTGTCCGCGATGAACTCCTAAACTATTGAACTGATTTCAATGAAATTTTGCACACTGTGTTCAGTTTGGTCCAACTTGAGAGATAGGATACTTTTTATCCCGATAAGTGACACTCAATATTTTTTTATTGCGAATTAAAGGATTGGGGTTGTTATAAACTAATTCGCTTAATTCCGCGTAAAGAAAGAAAATGATGTGTCCTGCCCAGTTTTAAGGGGACCTCCCACCCTCCCTCAATCGCGCGCACTATACCCGTCGCCGTTAATCTCAGCACTACCACCCCCAGCACCACCACACTAGGCACGACACACCACTCTCGAAAATACGACACGTGTTTCGCCTCTACACGAGGCATCCTCAGGTGAAGTAGACTCTGTGGAGGCTGGCCAACTTAGCGGCCAGATTGAGGGAGAGTGGGAGATCCCCTTAAAACTGGGCAGTACACATCATTTTCTTTCTTTACGCGGAATTAAGCGAATTAGTTTATAATAACCCCATTATAACGGATTTCCGCAAAGTAACGCCTGATTCTATCAATTAATTTAAGGATTTTTTCATAGGAAGGGTCGTCGAAAAGGGCAAAACAACGTCTGCCTGGCCAGCTAGTTTTATATATCGAATTAAACTGGAGATCAATTAGACAAAGGTAATCAATTTTAAATTACTTATTATGTCACTTGAAAAAGTTAATAGATGTATTTAAAAAAAACTTTGAATCCAATAACCAATATTGTTAATATGTATACAGTAAACATGTCTCCGCATTATAACTGGGGCAATGAAATCTTCCCCGATTAATGCCCTTCAAGTATTGTGTTGATCCTCCTCTCATCATAAGAAGACAATATCTTTCAGACAGATTCTTCTTTGGGATCTGTCTACTCTCTTCTCATCCCCTAATTCCCAGGCTACACCTCCTCTCAGAATTCTTATCTTCAAGTAGGTACTGGCTCCATAAATATTGCCCACATTTATTTAATAGCTTAGTCTCATTTCTGCAAATTCCTGAGCCCATTTTCTCATGCAATACAAGTCCACTCTTTAATACTCCTTTCAAATCTACTATATTATATCAACCTAACATTCACCTTGACCTAGATATTAGAAAAGGTTCCCTGAGGCAGACTTATACAGAAATAATATACACGTAAATTGATATCCAATTCAGTCAAAAACTAGCTGTGACACATCAGGACAGACGGACAGAACGAAATTATATGTATTTTAAATGACAGCAAAACCCTAAAAGGAAAATTGTATTATAACCATTATATCACTTCCAACCGTTTCTTAAAAGTGAAATTGATCTCCTGTAAATTCTAAATTTTTCAAATATGTTTAGTTATTTAAATGTTCAAATTAAACTTGTTAATTGTATTAACTAAGCTGGTACTAAAAGCCGAGCGGTAGCTAAATGAAGACTTGCTCGGCGGCTAAAGCGTCCGCAAACGGCTTGACGACGCCCCGGGTGGCGAAGTAGAAAATCAGTCCAAATGTTATTGATATGGGAAGTGCAGGCAAAGCTTTCTTGAATATCGCTAACAGCAGTAGGGTTAAGCAGAGCCCCTGAAACAATTCGTTAGATCATCATTACTGCATAATTTGGCGACATATAAAAACGGTGGTCAATGTTCAAAGTAGCCAAATAATGTCCAGAGACAATATTTGTGAAAAATGTCAACATATTTCTGACACTGCATATATGCTGTGATATATCGTAATACAGATTACACTCTCACAGAATAGCAGTGTAAAATAGCAGCATAATGCTGCCGTGTTTCGTATGGTGAGTTTAGACTGTAGAGAACCGGAGACCTTTTTTACTGGAAAAGAGGCATTCTATCTTAGTCCTCACGGCTGACAACGCATCTGCATTTTGATTCTTTATTGAGGATAGATGTGGATGTCTATGGGCCACAGCAACCACTTACTATCAGGTGGACTGTGTAGATAATATTTTATTTGCATAATTTCTAGATAGGTGTCAGTACAGATTTTATCTTATGTCGATTTCTTATGCCGAATGGAGCTCGCCCAGGCACTATGAATAATCATACATATTGAACTCGTACACTGAACTTCCAAAAGCTCATAAAAGTTAAAAATATTAAAAACAAAGTAACTAACCTCTGACAAATGACGTAATAACCACGTAAAATAAGTCAGATTATTTATGGAGGATAAGGTCTAAATAATACCAACTTGAAATGGTAGCAAAATGCTGCTGTAACCAGAATCCCTTTTTACTGGTCAAAAATAAGGCATTGTATCTTAGCTCTTAGGGTAACAATGATTACGAATATAGGGATAGATGAAGGTGTATATAGGCCACGGCATTTACTTATCATCAGGTCTCATTTGTCATCTTTCTATGAAAAACTTGTGATATCTCTGCTACAATCCGCTTAACAAACGTGGCTACTAAAAAAGTAACTCCTCCAACCATACAGGATAGGAGTCTTGTCCAGCAGTAGCGGTTTTAAGTTAGGACATCAAGAGGATGACATTATTATTAAAATTACGACTATAACTCACAATAAGTATTGCCACAAAACAGGCAAGTGTTGTATTCCAGTCTCCATATGAACTAGCCTTGCCAACTAGTACACTGTAGAAGATGAAGTCGCCCAAGCCAAGTTTTACACCCTCTGTAATGAAAAAAAAATTTAAGTTGTGAGGTTCTGATTAATTACATTAAAAGTAATAGTCTATCTATCATTGTTACAGCCAATCCCAAGTCCTATACTGAATACAGTAGACGCTCGGTAATCCGGCACCCATTTTTTTCCCGTAAATGCTAGATTATCGGAAACGTCCGATTATTGGATTTCTATAAGAAATGCCGGCTAGCTAGTAAGAAATAATTTTAACACGTTTTGCAAAGTAAAGAATCTTTACTAGTTACTTTAGTAGTTCAACTTTCGTAACACTTCCATTTTTTAGTTACATTTCAGAGTTACATGTTTACGTTTTTTGTCCGCCATTTTGTTTAAATGATACTTCTACCCACAAAAGGGAAATAAGACATTACACATGCGTTTACTTGTCACGGTCGTGGACCGGACTGCAAAACGACAGAACGATAACAAACAATGCGCGCCCTCTGTAATCCGGCACTATTGTATTAAATCTGACCGATGGACTATTGGGCATGTCGGATTAGTGAGCGTTGGATTATCGAGTGAGTACTGTATAGACTGTCACAAAACACAACCTAACTATATACCTACCGAAATTTAATGAGTATTATGTAATGATCTATATTGAATAAAAAATTATTTATTCTATTCTAATGTACACACAAAAAGATACAGAAACAGTCATAAGTAAGCTTATACAAAGTTTCTACTTATTCCATAATTTACTGAATTATCCTTACAGTAGACCCATAAAGGAAAATATATTTGTGGCGGCGCTGTCGTCGCGCCGAAACACGGTGTCGAACCACGGTGTTTGAGGTGTCGAAACACCTCAAAGCCTAAATCGCGCTAGCAAAGTTCCGAAGTTAAAGCAGTATATACAGAATAGATCCGAACTACAACTCGGAGCGTTGGCAGCTCCCCGGGTAGAACATCTCGCCCTCACTGGCATCACTTGCAAGTGCGTAGTATGGCGTGCACTACACACCGGCATATTGTTCGCACCGGCGTCACTTGCTCTTACGCATACAGCATGCATTCCCCACTGGCATTAAGGGCGCACTGGCAATCGGACTGCACTATCGACCTCCGGTCTGAGCAGAGGGTTGATGTGGCGCCGCTGTCGTCGCGCCACAAGCGAAACACATCGAAGCCTAAATCGCGCTAACAAAGTTCCGAAGTTATAGCAGTATATATAGAATAGTTCCAAACTACAACTCGGAGCGTTGTGCGTTCCCCGGGCGAAACACCTTGCCCGGCGGGAGATCTCCCCTTTTCCTTCCTACGGCCATATATTAAAAAAGTCGAACTTAGTAGTCGAACTTTATACATTACTACTACTGCCAGTGTATAAATAGTATACATAATATATATACTAATTTAATACATTCATCATCATTACAGCCCTTCACAAGTCCACTGCTGAACATAGGCCTCCCCCAAAGAATGCCACAAAGCACGGTCCTGAGCCACCTGCATCCATCGACTTCCTGCATGTCTTACCAGGTCGTCACTCCATCTCGTGGGGGGACGCCCTACACTTCGCCTACCGGTACGAGGCTGCCACTCGAGAACCTTTCTTCCCCATCGGTTGTCGGTTCTTCGAGCTATATGGCCGGCCCACTGCCACTTCAGCTTACTAATCCGTTGGGCTATGTCGGTTACTCTGGTTCTGCTGCGGATATACTCATTCCTAAGTTTATCACGCAGAGAAACTCCGAGCATAGCCCTCTCCATAGCTCGCTGAGCGACCTTGAGCTTCCTCATACGGCCAGCAGTGAAGGACCACGTCTCAGTTCCGTAAGTCATCACTGGCAACACGCACTGGTTGTACAATTTCGTTTTCAGGTTTTGAGGTATGTCTGACGAGAAGATGTGTCGTAGCTTCCCGAACGCTGCCCAGCCGAGTTGAATCCGTCGATTGACCTCTCGGTCGAAGTTGGACTTACCTAGTCGGACTATTTGTCCCAGGTAAACATACTCGTCAACAACTTCGAGGTATAGGTGTGACATGGACATTGAACATGATCTTTGTTTTGTCCATGTTCATCTTAAGACCTATCCGTTGGGAAACACTATCGAGGTCATTGAGCAGTGCTTAGGTCCTCCAGCGATTCTGCCATAAGGACTATATCGTCGGCAAATCGAAGGTAAGTGATGTACTCGCCATTGATGTTGATACCGTATCCTTTACAGTCCAGAAGCTTGAAAACGTCTTCCAATGCAGCGGTGAAGAGTTTCGGGTATGTGACGTCACCCTGTCTTACACCTCTCTGCAATTGGATTCGTATTGAATTGGTTTCGTACTCTGATTCTGTACTCGGATAGCCATCGTAGCCCTACTGTACAAGCACTTCAACACTTCGATATACCGACAGTCAACTTGGCACCGCTGAAGGGACTACAGCACCGCCCAAATTTCGACGGAATCAAAGGCTTTCTCATAGTCCACATACGCCAGACATAGTGGCAAATTGTACTCTTCGGACTTCTGTACAATTTGCCGAAGGGTATGTACGAGTATGTGGTCTATTGTGCTAAAGCCCTTTCGGAAACCGGCTTGTTCGGGAGGCTGGAAGTCGTCAAGTCTGCGTGCGAGACGCTTCGTAATGACTCTCGAAAATGCTGTTTTTCGTTTTTCGTAGACGCGACTCAGAAGGGAAATCGGTCTGTAGTTCTTCAAGAGAGCGTTGTCGCCTTTCTTGAAGAACAAGACCACCACACTTCTGCTCCAAGCCTCCGGTGTAATGCCACCATGGAGGACGGAATTAAAGAGCTTCTGAAGGACTTCAAGTACCGGTCTTCCACCCGCTTTCAGAAGCTCCGCTGTAATTCCATCCTCGCCTGGGGCCTTACCGTTTTTAAGGTGCTGGAGAGCCATTCTAATCTCGCTCAGACTGACGTCCGGGATATCTTCGGAATAGTGTCGGATGAGACTCGCTCTTGGATCGTTACTCACACTTGCGTGTGGCTCCAACGATGACGTGTACAGCTGCCCATAGAACCTCTCAATCTCACTCAAAATCTCAGGTGTCCCGGAAACGATACTGCCACATTCTGTCTTCAGCTTTGACAGTTGGCTCTTTCTGGCAGACAGATCTCTGGCAAAGACTTTGTAGCCTTGGTTCCGCTCGATCGCTTCTTCAATACGAGCTGTATTGAAGTTGCGAAGTCCCGCCGCATGCATTTGGAGATCTGTCTGTTCAGATGCCTGTAAGCTGTCAAGTCTGTTGAAGAATGTAGCTTCATCTCCCGTCTAACAGCCATGAGATTAAGAGTGTGATCGGAGAGTTTTTGTGTTCTTCTGCGGCGGGTCTTGCAGAACTTAGCTCCGACCGCATGGACAGTTTCCACGAGCTTGTCATTCATATCGTCCACTTCATTGCAGTCTTCTAGGCACTGAAAACGGTTTTGTAACTCGAGCTGAAAGGTTTCGGGACTTTGGAATAGAGCACGAGGGGGACAGAGCGTTGACTTCATTAGACGAGACCTCTCCAACTTAACGTTTAGGTTCAGTGTGCCTCTAACCATTCGGTGATCACTACCAGTTTTCACCCTCGCGATCACGGAGACATCACTGAACAGTTGTCGTCTGGTCGTCATAATGAAGTCAATCTCATTTTTTGTCGAACCGTCGGGGCTCAACCAGGTCCACTTCCTGTGGGGCCGCTTCTGGAAGAAAGAGTTCATCATAAAGAGTCCCTCTTTCTCCATGAAGTTGGCCAGCTGCTGGCCCCTTGGGTTCCGTTGCCCTATTCCAAATTTCCCTACTTTCAGCTCACCGTTCTCTCTTGTGCCTAGTTTTGCATTGAAGTCTCCCATTAACACCGTATATGGTTTTGGAGGAATGCATGGCTCTAGAGATATCCTCATACATTTCCTCCACCTCCTCATCGGGGTGTGTCGAGGTTGGTGCGTAAACCTGTATGACCTTCAGCGAATACCGTTTGGTGATTCTGAGTATAAGGTACGCAACCCTCGTCGACACACTCCCGATCTTTACAACGTTGTTAACGAGAGACTTGTGGACGATAAATCCGACACCTCCTTGGGACAGATGGTCGCCCTCCCGGTGATAGAGCAAATTGCCGGATTCGAGGATTACCGTGTCCTCCCCCTCTCTTCGGACTTCGGATAATCCTATAATATGCCAGCGCAACTTGTCTATCTCTTCTTCCAGCTCCACGATCTTCTCGTCAGTCCTCAGGGTGCGTGCGTTGTACGTTGCCAGGTCGAGTCGTCTAAGGTGGCAACCGAACCTCCACCGGAGATTCTTAGCACCCCCTGCCCCGCCGTTACCATGGTCGCCACCGTAGCCAGGAATAGCGGGGCCGCCGGGGACTGGGGGCCGTCTCTTTGTTACATTCATAGGGGGGTATTTGCCATAGTTGCCACGCTTGGCGAGCGGGTTGGCAACCGCAGTTTTTTTATTGTAATTTTGGCTATTATCAGGAAGATGCTGCTGCCCATCTCCTGCTTGTTTCCCTTTGTCGCCTTTTACGACACCCACGGGAGGATATGGGGTAGTGGATATTCTTGACCGCCACTACACGGCATACATTAATATATATATTAATTAACAAAATGCAAAGAAATTATGTCTTTCATGTTTCTTGAATGCCAATAGTTTTAGAATCTCTTGTATTATGCGGTAGTGAGTGTATAAAGTTTTGTGAAGATAAGCAACAATAAGAGTGAGGGACTTACTCTCGTCGTCGGCGTCGGGCAGCGCGGGCGGGGGCGGGTGCGGGTGCGGGCGCGGCGGGTCGAGGCGCGTGGTGTAGTGCGCGGCCGCCGTGCTGTCCACGCGCAGGCGCCGCGCCGCGCCGCCGCGCGCGCGCCACTCGCCTTCGAACCCGCCCTCACCGTCGCCGTCGCCTTCCGAGCCGCCCGCACGACCTCCTGCACACATTACACTTGTTATTACAAATCGCCCTTACTGCAGACGGGCAAAGGTCTTAGACCATACAGCCTCGTCTGATTTGTATTTGCTTGAATAAAACTACTTTTACAGATTTTATCGTATGTAGTGTTCGCGTAAATACAATAAACCGTTTTGTATTTTGTTCACAAAACTTATATACTAATGTAACACATTGCATAATTTTTGGGAGATTTTAACGACAGCTTTTTTAATAGTATCTTAAGGTACTTAAACGGATAGAACATGAGATTTATATCAATTGTTACATCATTTCTATAGTTCACATGGGCAAACATTTAATACACCAAATCGAACCACTTATACCCATCAAAATCCACTTCAAACCAATATTTAAACAACACAACAGGAGCGCTAATTAGCCGGCAATTACGTTTTCATCAAAACTCCATAAACATTTCAAATTATAAATTGTATTTTTTGTTAATATCTTGATGTCTACACAAATTTGTATATTTATTAATCATGTTGTATAAAAGTCAGATATAACATAACCAGACCATTAAAAGAAAATGGCACAAAATTATGACATGACTCTAGAGTAAATCCGTCTTTCCATGCCGCCTATCATGGGAGCAGCTAACGTCCTTTTATAACTGTTTATTAAATATACAATGTCAGTTTAATATCCGCATTAGACACACATCATACACACATAGATAATATAGAAGACATAATACAGAAACAATATAATGCACTGTTTAAAGAAGCGAAGCTAATAACGCGACTTTCACTAAACAGGTAATATTTTTTTATTGAACAGGATGTTGTTACACAAAAAGAACCCATAAAAAATATTTGGAGGTTAAGTGACATTGGCTTATTTCTATTTGTTTGTCATTTTGCTTATTATTAATTGCGAGTTGCTCTTAATTCATTTTCTAATATAAAAGTTTTTAAGTCAAGTTTTGATTGACCACTTTTTGTATAACATCCAATTTGAGGACATGGAACAAAGGACACACAAACATGCCATACGACTCAACAATGTAATGTTTAAGTAGCGATAAGTAGCCGAGAGTTTAGTTGGATAGACTCTAAAAATTTGGTCTACAAATAATTGTTCCGAGTCTGGGTTTTGGCCCATGTGCATTGTATGCATGCAAAACGGTTCTACGATACTGGAGAAATTCCTGGTGTGAAGGTAACGCTTTTAGCAACGAAAATAAGTAATAATTCCAGTTTGAATTATGACTCCGTCTTTAAATACATTTTTTGCCATGCCATTTTAACTTATTTATCTCAATCGTAATTATGTAATTAAGAATAATAGACGGCTCTGTAGTGTTGTCTCCACTGAAAATGTTTTCTTGAAAAACTGAAAACTGAGACAAACAGATATTAGCACAGAAAGAATTAAAAAGGCACAGTTTTATTATACGATAGAATAGCACTCTATCGCCACTTAATATCAGGTGACCTATTAATTAAAAAACGATGATACAGCCACGGCACAGGACACGACACAGTGCGAAGTATTGGGAGTAGGGGGTCACAGACCGTGCGGGTTGAGGGGGCGGAGCTCCCGCGGGCGCTGCTCACCTGCGGCCGCGCCGGAGCCGCCCGCGCCGCCCGCGCCGCCAGCACTGCCCGTCGCCGCCCCGGGCGTCGCCATGCAGTACATCACCGTCGCTGCACAAACAATTCTCTTTGCACTACTCCATTGATTATTTCGTATTGCAATATAATGTATATAAACTATACATGTAAAAATATTTTTTGTTGTAATAATTATATAATTTAAGTATAACAGTCCACTGCTGAACATAGGCCGTCAACATAGATTGCCTTATAGGAAGGATTTGCTATAGCTGCCACACTTGGCAGGTGGGTTGGCAACTGTAGTTTTCACACACATCATATCGTCGTTTAGCACACATCGTATCATATCGTCAAAAAATCGCGATCCACTTAAATCACTTCCACCAGCTTTATATTGCACTTATATAATAAAAAATGTGCACCAATAGCAAGAGGAGATTTCAATTAACACTTTTGACATAGTTATAAAATTATATATATATATATATATATATATATATATATATATATATATATATATATATATATATATATTTATAGGATAAGGGTGACAAACGAGCACACAGTCCATCTGATGGTAAATGGTTGTTGTGGCCCATAGACATCAACATCAAACAAAATGCAGATGTGTTGTCACCCGTGAGGACTAAGATGGAATGCCTCATCTCCAGTAAAAGGGTCTCTGGTTCTCTACACTCACCATACGAAACACAGCACCATTAAGCTGCTATTTTACGCTGGTATTCTGTGAGAGAGTGGTCCTTCCCCGGTCGAGCCGACCCATTTGTGCTACAACTATACTACTAATATAGATGCAGCATGGCTCTACCACGTAAAAAAATATTTGGATTATTATTAAAAAAAAGTTCGTCCCCGTTGGTGTGGAATGTGGCGCGCAAAGCGGCGATGGGGACCGCCACCCGTCACGTACAGCCCGACACGGCTGAAGGTGGAGGACAGAGTGCAGAGTTGGCACGTGGATTGTTAGAGGAGGCATGAGAGATAAAACGAATGAGTTGATCGAAATAATGAAAGAAAGAGAATTAGATGTCGTGTGTATGTCGGAGACCAAACGGAAGGGCAGTGGTACTGAAGAGCTCCCTGGCGGGGCGTTAGCTCTATGGTCCGGAGTCCCGGAAAGCGAGGACGCCTACCAGGGAGTGGGGGTGCTGCTGTCTTCTCGGTTGGTCGATGTTATGACTGAATATAAGGTTGTGAACTCAAGACTTCTCTGGGATCGCTTTAAATTGGGACTGACGAAGTTATTCCTTTTGGCTGTTTATGCGCCGCTAGCTTCGTCGTCCAGGGCTGAGCTGGAGGAGTTTTGGGAGAATGTAAGAGAAGTTCTAGATTTGGCTAGGGGAAACGAAAGAATTGTTGTATGTGGTGATTTGAATGGATGGGTTGGTACCGCTTGACCAGGGTACGAGTCGGTACTTGGAAAGTTTGGCGATAAAAGGGTTAATGATGCTGGCAAGCTTATACTGGCGGTATGCAAGTAAAAGGGTCTTCTTGTGACAAAGACTATGTTTAATCACAAATCCATATGTATACTAGAATAGAATAGAATAGAATATTTTTTAAAAATAAATTTTACAATATAAATGATTACGAACTATTTACAAAATTTATTTTAGAAACTGCTTGGAAGCGATCACCTCATTCCCAGGGGTTATTATCAACCATGTATTCATTTATACTATAATAACCCTTTTTATACAGTTTCAGCTTAATAAAACATTTGAACTTGGTAATAGAGAGAACCTGTACACTTTCCGGGACCTTGTTGTAATAGCGTATACATTGCCCCAAGAATGAATTACTGACTCTGTGGAGTCGAGAAACTGGTATCACTAGCTTGTGTTTGTTCCTAGTGTTTACAGAATGTATATCACTTCTTTTACTAAAACTATCTTTGTTTTTGTGAACATATAATTTATCTCTAAGGGACTCTCTCGGTTTTAGATTGTAAATAGCTCTAATGGCCCTCTTCTGCAAAACAAAAATAGTTTCTGAATCAGCCGCATTTCCCCATAGCAAAATCCCATAAGACATTATGCTATGAAAATAACTAAAATAAACTAATCTAGCTGTCTCGACACTAGTGAGACCTCTAATCTTTTTTACAGCATAGGCTGCAGAACTTAGTCTGCTTGCTAATTTGGATATATGGGGGCCCCACTGGAGCTTTGCGTCAAGAGTGATGCCAAGAAAAACAGTGGATACAACAGGGCTCAATTCCTCCCCATTTAAAAACACATTGGTATTCAGATTTTGAACATTCGTTGTTGTAAATTTAACACAATTAGTTTTATTTCAGTTCAAATGCAGATTATTAACGTTAAACCAATGCACTAATTTTGATATAGCATTATTCACTTCGTCACATTTAGAGAAAGAAAGAATGAGAGAAGTATGATCGATTTGTTCCTGGTGGATGACCAACTGCGAAAACAGGTGATGGATACGCGAGTGTTCAGGGGTACTGACCTGGGAACGGATTACTATCTAGTGATTACTAGATTTAGGGGTCTGTTCGCGGGTTGGCGCTACCGGACGGCAGTAACAGTACCACAGTCGGTCTGTCGCATCCGAAGCTGAGTGAGGGTTCCGGGGATGACGCCGTGACTGGTACGCCAGACCCGGACCTCGATGACACTGAGGTCATCAGTATGAAAGAGATTGAACGTGCGATTCGAAGTTTGAAATGTGGTAAGGCTGCGGGACTAGACAGAGTTACTGCTGAAATGGTCAAGTATGGTGGGCCTCGCGTCTGGGACAGCTTTCATCTGCTGTGCAATTTGTGCTGGCGGACGGGAGATGTCCCGGATGGTTGGCGATCCGCAGTCATTGTGCCTTTATATAAAGGTAAAGGTTCACATTTTGACTGCGGGTGCTATCGGGCGATCAGCTTGACCAGTTTAGCAAGTAAAGTTTACTCGAAAGTTTTGACACGTAGGATGCAAGAGAAATCGGAAAGATTTCTATGGGAGGCACAATGCGGATTCAGACCTGGAAGAGGATGCACGGATCAAATGTTTTCTCTCCGCATGATCCGGAAAAGCTTCTGGCTGCTAACCAGAAGATTTTCTGTGCTTTTGTGGATCTTGAGAAAGAAAATGTGGGAACTGTTGCCGGGGTATGGTGTGGATGGTCGATTGCTAAGGGCTGTGCAGTCACTTTACTGTGACTGTAAAGCCTGTGTGCGGGTAGGGCATGACCTGCCACCCATGTTTAGCGTCCAAACGGGCGTAAAACAGGGTTGTGTCATGTCTTCCTGGCTGTTCATACTGTATCTCGACAGCTGTTTACAGAAGCTGAAAGATAGCTGTTTGGGTGTGAAATTGGGTGACATAAAAGTAAATTGTCTGCTGTATGCTGATGATGCAGTGCTTACTGCACCATTAGATGCAGAACTGTAGGCATTAGTCACGTGTATGAAAGAGGAATGTGAAATTAAAGGTCTCCGTTTGAATGCTAATAAAACTAAGGTTCTGGTATTTGAAAGGGACGAAGAGAGAACGAAGTGTGAAATATGGGTAAATCAGGAATGTCTAGAACAGGTAAATGAAATTGTATACTTGGGGAGTGCTTTTAGCCGGGATGGAAGATGTGACTTAGATGTGGACAGGCGTGTCGCTGCCGGGAACAAAGTCAATGGTGCGACTGCGTTAGTCAAAAGGCAAGGCGTAGTTAAGAGTGCACGCCTTGCAATACATAACGCAGTGTTGGTACCGACTTTGTTATATGGCAGCGAAACCTGGGTATGCCAGAAGAAGCATAAAAGCAATTTGAATGCAGTGGAGATGCGATCTCTTCGTAAAATGTGCGGCGTTACCATGGCCGACCGAAAGCGAAACGAAGAGATTCGCAATATGGCAGGTTTAAAAGATGACCTTATCACAAAAATTGATAAGGGCGTGCTTCGATGGTTTGGGCACGTTGAGCGAATGAGTGAAGACCGAATGGTGAAGAAAATATATAGCGCGAAAGTAAATATTAAAAGGTGTCGAGGTAGACCGAGACTAACTTTCGAAGACCATGTGAGCAAATTGCTCGAAGAGGGGAGGGTCAAGAGTACTCGGATACCTAGACGTGCATGTATGAAGAAGATAATGAATCTGAAAGAAGCGAAAGAGGTATGTAAGGATCGTGACACTTGGAGATCTGTTCTCTCTGGCTACCCCGTCAGGGATTGTGCGTGAATAAGTAAGTATTAAAAAAAAGTTAATTAAAAATAATTTCACTTGGATGTCAGTTGGTCAGTACGGATATAAACAAGATATCTTTCAAAAAACTGAACATATCACTTTTTTTTTTTTTTTAGCTTAGTATTTAATCCTTAGGAAGCCTTTTGTATTTCACTATTGTAAACCTTCCCATTTGAGGTGTGCATTTTTTAATGTTCCATTTTTTTTTATTCTTGAGTTGTCAGGAAGTTGCTGCTGACCCCCTTCTGTTCCTTTGGTATTCTGATCCTAGGGCAGGTGGAAAAAAGGACAATGACCTATGAGCATAGTTTGTATCATAAGTGTCATAAAAGACGATGAATGAATGTAGCATACAAGTGACTTCAAGGCAAACAAGTGAATAGTCTTCTATTAAACTTGACCCTTGCGCACAGTGTTTTAAAATCTTCTATGTCACAACTTACCATCCGGTAGTAAACTAATCACTAGCTTATAATAGGTAGAAAATCCAGAAAGTTCTTATGTCCACTGGTTAGATAGCAGTAAGACCATCTAGTTGATTCCAGATTAAAAACACTCAGAAAGGAGAGGGAAATGAGTATCAACATTGTGTATTGTGATCGTCAATCCACCTGCTAAGCTTGATGGTTAGAGCAAACCTTACAACGCGTACCTCCGAAATCATTTGAATAAATCTACATACATTACAATATATAAATTTAATGTTAGATAAAGGCATTACAGTACTAGCCTTCAAAGGGGCAATAAGTCTCGTACTGCCATCGCAAACAAGCCTGCCAAGAGGCCCATGCCTAGCTGTGACCTAAAGCAAAAAAAATAATGTTCACTTACATGAATAAATGAGGGCTGGAAAGATTGGCTCATTTCTTTCTTGAGCAGTTTCTACTAATATTCTTAAGGGTCCTTTTGGAGTCAATACAGCTACTAAATCTAAAACAATGTAATAAGCAAATTAAGGACTTAATTAACAAATAATATAAGATATGTAATAAGTAATAACTTAATAATAATTTAGTTAATACTTAATTTCATTTTTTTACTATTTAGTATCTGATTTCAATTTATTTAATAAAGGAACAATCACACTAAAATAATATAACTTGGCAATTTAGTAAAATTTTATCTTTACCCCAGATAGAAATAACAGCAAGAACAGCCCATGTGGTCCACTCTGGAAGATATTTAATGAAAACTAGAGCCATCAATGCAGCTATGAAGATCAGGTATGCTTGTTGAAGTCTAAGTGGTCCCTTCCAGTGAATCACTATCATTCCCATTACACCAAAGTTCCACATTACAAAAAATAGAGTGATGTAATCCATAGGTATATTATAGGCTCTTAGCGCTTCCCTGAAACACAAGAAAAATAGCTTATTAATTGAGCTACATTGCCATGGTAACTCAAGGGGAAAAGTGTTACTTTGAAATTTTACAGATTTATCACATACTCAGTGAACGAATACATTGTAAGGAAACCATACGTCTAGAGAAATTATTTGTACTATGTGTCCACCAACTTGAGATAGCGCGGAGGAAATTCCGTGCTTCAAAATGTGTCATGTGCCCAGCAGTGAAACATAAGTATAATGCGATCAAGAATAGGAACATTACCTTGACATTTCAACTACCATTTGCAAAGTACTGAGTAAAATAAAATAGTTTTTACATTGTCTAAAACTGAGTCTTAATATGACAACATCAATTGAATGTTTAATTGGTTTTAAAAATAATTTACAACAAAAGTAGAAACTGGCATCCCTTTGGCATATTTGAAGATGATAATGTGAACTTTGTTGTTATTTTTATTATAAAAATAGATCCTAACACTTAGTTTTTTTTTTAATCATAGTCGGTGAAATATTCGAGATACCGATAATGATAATAATGACGTTGATGACTACTCTGAGAATAATGCAGAAGTAGACAGAATTGAAGGGATAGATACAGGTTAAAAGTTTTTTTTTATATAAAATGACAGATGAGCGCCACAAGTGGCTTGCACTTTGGCGCGCTGCATGTAACCTACACTGTAAAAATTGCTGCCAGAAAGGAAAAAAACATACTTTTGTGTGATTTATTATGATTAATTAATTCTTTGATAATATTCTGAAAGTGTAAAACGAAATTTCCTAATATATCCTATACTATTATTACAAGATCAATATAAATAGCAATCTCAGTCTCGAGAACAGCTCTAATGATTTCGTTAAAACACTATAGGAGTTTGCAAGGCGAAAAAGCGATTCAACTAGGTCTCCTTTCTGGGAAAATTCATTTTCTCCGTGTTTTTATGATCAAAGAATCTTCTTATAAGCAAAATGGCTAGAGCTTAGGTCTAACACACGAGTACGCGACTTCAAATCCTGCAATATGGTCCGATTCTTATTTGTCTTTTTTTTGTTTTACTTTACAAGTTTTTCTAGATAAGTGTAATCCCTGAGATATTTTTTTAACGCAGACCAACACTCGTTAAATATTCTAGTTTAAATATAGTTGCATTAGTGGGTAAGAGACAAGTCTACTTAACTATAATCATAATATACTTACTCTATATACAAATATGAGAATAAGAACAGTAACATCAGTGATGAAAGTATGAGCCAGCCATGAATAACCCTGTAACATCTCTTCTTATACAACACAATGAGCAGGACAGTCATTAGAGCTATCACACTGAGCAGGATCATAGAGTTAGCAAGAGCATTCCATACTTTTGTTACTGCATATGGACTCTCTTCATGGAATGGTGTATATGCTCTGAAAAATTAGAAGTTATTACGTAATTAATGCAAACATTAATTTTCTACTTTGTTACATGTGATGTGTGTGCGTGACGACGCGCCAGCATGTGTCACGCTATGTTGCCAAATCGCTAAAACTTCAAAGTGGATTATGGTTGTTTGATGTTGCCGCCCCAAATGTTGTAGTTTTCTTTAATTATGTTACTATTTTTTTCTCTAATTACGTTCTTATGTTTATTGACTTTTTCGTTCTTTTAGACATACACAGAGGCATCTTACACAGTTACTTCTCCGATGCAGCATGGATATCTCCTTATGAGGGGGTTTTGCCGTAATCATAAAATGTGGGCATGCATAGCGGCGATCGCAGTACCGTATGTTTTGCACCTTTAGCGCCGCTCCTCATTGCTGGGCTTGGTGTTTTAAATCTGGCATAAATAAAATCTTTATGCCAGACTTAAAACAGTTTTGACGGTTCCGTGGCGCAATGGCTTAGCAATGAGTTGCTGCGCTGGGGGCCGCGGGTTCGAATTCCGCACGAAACAAGTATTACTATTTCCTGCAAATAATTGTTCTGGGTCTGGATGTTTGTCCTTGGGCTATTTATGTTTGTAAACTGTCTCCACGATACAGGAGAAAATCCTACTGTGGGGGTAACGTTTTATAAAGCAAAAAAAAATCAATGTGCATCAATTATCATGAAATCTTTCTAAAATTTCTTATAGTCACCTCTTATACAACCCACGGACCATGAACCGAAATGGAATGTTAAAACTGAGATTTCTATTTATTAAAATTTCTAACTGATTTTGAATAAATATAAACCACCTGTTTCAAATACAAGGACATGTTAAAATACGTAAGATACTTTGTATGGTCTTGAGCCATGATGAAGCCACACATGCCTCAACTATTACTTAAATAGAACTGAAACCTACTACAGTAGAGAAGACACACACCAATTCTTAATGAAATGTCTAAAATATGGAAGGATTTCCAGAAAGGGTTAAAAAAGGAATTATTGGCAGAGGAAGCAACACCAGTTATTAGAAAAAAATATAGGGATAGTTTTATTTGTGTTAAGTTTTTGTATACATTACATACATTTTACAGTTTTTGCCAAATTTAAAAAAAATGGGCTTGTAATAAATATGAAAATAACAGTCATCAATGAAGTATATTTTTATTAACTAGTGGTTACCCACGGATCCAAATTCAACCGTAATTCGAACATAATGCCAACTGCAACATCAACGAGAACAGGGTAGTCCTAAACTACTACAGCAATAACATTACAACTTATTGTAGCTTAGGGATCCAAATTAAAGATAAACATAACAAATTAAAAATAAAGCCAAAAGATAAAAGAAATTGTTATCCAGTGGTAATGGCAAGATAATTTCTATAATCTTTAACACTAACATCAAACTACAAAATTTAATGGAAATAACACACCTCAATATTAAGTAGTAAGGCAGTCATGTGACTTATCATTAATTTCAATTATTTTTACCTTATTGCCACAGAAGGAGAGTAATGTTTTTATGATGAGTATGTACGAGGGGAGGTCAAGAAGTTCGCGGAATGGCAGCGTTGGCGAGGGTGAGTTTACTCATCCAGGTAGGCGCTAGTTGATTGACTGATTGTTAGTATATATACCAAGTTTCAGCATCTGCGACCCCTTTTCCCTAAAGGGTGTCGCTTCCAATTCGGCAGAAAGGCCATACAAGCCAACGCCAGTCTCACAGGTGGTGTTTAGTAGGTAGGCACTTAGGTTTCGCAGTGAGTCCCACATAACCACGCAGCCGGCTGTCATGGTATGCTTAGAGCATTCACCACCTCCCTTCCTCGCTACCTGGAAAGTAGCCCTTTCCTTTGCTTCTAGGCGCAAAAAAAAACTAATAGGGTCATTAGCTTTTGAGTTATCAACGAGTAAATAAGTCAATGGGGAAGAAACAAGCCATTATAGAGAAAATTAAATATCGCGCCGTCATTACATTTCTCACCAAATAAAGGAAAGACACCTCAAACCATTTTTCAAGAGATGTCAGCTGTTTATGGGGACTCTGCTCCTGGAAAAACCATGATTTATAAATGGCACACCCTTTTCAAACAAGAGAGGGATTCCATTGAAGACGATCCCCGAACTGGACGGCTAATTGAAGCTACCACAACAGAAATAATTGTAAAAGTTGAAAAACTTATATTAGAAGATGCCCAGCTGAAGAAAAAACAGCTTGCAGCATTAGTTGGAGTATCAGAAACAAACATTTTAACATCCTACATCAACACCCTGGCATGACTAAAGTCTGTGCAAGATAGGTTCCAAGAATGCTTTCTGTGCATCAAAAACAAGAGCATGTTGAAAGTTGTCGCGAGTTTTTGGACCGCTGTGGAGAGCAAAGGGAGGAAGTTATGGCACTGTAACTGGCGTTAAAACTTGGGTTATGAACCTGAGTCAAAGCAAGAGTCGATGCAGTGGCATAAAAAAGACCCCCCCCCCCACCCTTAAGAAGTATAATGTGTTTTAATCAGTCGGAAAGATCATGGCGACAATCTTTTGGGATACAGAAGGTATTAAAGAAAAAAGGCAAGGAAAGCTTACAAAAGATGTGCTCCTTTTGCACGACAATGCGCCCGTGCACACAAACCATGTTGCAACAGTTGTCATTCACGGTTTTGAACATTTGCGCTACCCACCCTACAGCACAGACCTGGCCCCAAACAACTATTATTTGTTTCCAAAAATCAAAAAAGAACTGCGTGGGAAAACATTTGGGAAAGATGATGAAGTGAAGTCTGAAATTTCAGCCTATTTGGATGCCCAAGACAAATTTTTTTTTAGACAGTATTAATAAGTTGACAGATTAAGATCTGTCAAATAATACATACACAGGGTTAAGGGAGAATACATTGAAAAGGACAAATTGTTTAATGTTTCATTTCATTATCCGTCCTTGTCATTCTGCAAACTTTTTGCCCTCCCCTTGTATGTATTTCTATTTTTTTGACACACTTTGAAGCTTAAATTGCTTGAAAGTTTTTCACCTCCAAAGTGTCGTTAGATTGGCCTTAGTTGTGGAAAAGACTAAAGGTATAAAATAAATTATGCAAATTTTCAGGAATAATTATTTTTAGACAGGCAGGTTTTTTTTTAAATGTTGTTTTAATTTTGTTTTTTTTTTTTTATAATAGTTTTCTAATGGAGTTAACAATTGTGGAAATTCAACTATGCTAACCTCGCTGATCTATATTAAGCACACAATATCATACACAGCAGCATTTTTAATTCTAATGCTGGACATAGGCAAGAATGTGTCAGTTGAGTGTAAAGCAGATGCTCACACTGGGAATGAAATTAGCATTACCAATGCTAGAGTATCCATACATTATCACACATTTAATGTGTTATCAGACACTTGCCTGTTATCAGACTAATCTATAGACCAAAATCTAGCTGGTGCATCAATAGTACTTGAAGAAGTTGACATGTTCACCAGTACACCCTTAGTCTACATTAATTTAGTGTGGCATGCCCTGGGGAAACCCTATGTTCAGCAGTAAGGCGCTGCAGTGATGATGATGGTGAATTATTTTCTTACAAAATTATTCTCCAATCTGCACTTATTAATCTATAGTCTGTTATTTAATTACACATTTTTTTTTAATTTTAGAAATGAGCTGTACTTACAGATAGACATCTTTGACAGAATAGAAGTTGATTGAGGAAATTGTAGCAACAACAACAAGCATACAGAGTGTCACCGGCACAAAGAGTTTGATAACATGACGAGCTCCATACTTGAGCTCAAGCTCCTCAACCTGTGATTCCACCTGCACTGCTGGATGGCTGACACTAGGCGGGGAATCTCTGTTTTCTCCTGAACTATCCCCCTCCCGTTGCTCCACACTCTATAAAAGTGGAAAAATGGGTTTTAGTAAAACTGCTTATTTTGCAATTACAATAGATATTGTGCATATGAAATCATGCTGTTTTACCATTACCATTACAGCCTATAAAAATTCACCACTGAACATAGGGAGCTCATAGATTGCTTCATAAAAGGGATTTTGTAATAGTTACCACGCTTAGCATGCAGGTCTACAACTGCAGTTTTTTTAATAATTTTGAGTAGTTGCTGCCCATTTCCTGTTTAAGTTTCAGTCTATCGCCTCATACCCACAGGCACTGGCACTTAACAGAATGTTATCCGGGAGCTTTTAGTAGCAATCATGCGAATCACAAACTTCTAGTTCCTTAAGTTTTAAATAAATAATATAAATAAATTTTATTTCATTTTTAAAAAGTACATGCCTTAAAAAACTAGTAGATTGGAATTTAATTAATGGAACAGCTTAAGCAGTAAACTACATAGTGCATCATTTAAAATGTTTACAGAGGGACTGTTTGCAAAATGCTACGACAAACTATAATTTACTTATTTCAGTTTTATATCACAAATTAATACAAAATAAGTAGGTCTAATTAACAAGTATGTTCAATTATTCAAATTATTTACTAATTTAATCTAAAGCAACTATACTGCTTTTGTGACACTGTTTTTCGAGCAATATGAAAACTTTCTTGATATAATGAAGTTAATAAATAAACACTTTACAATGCATACATATAGTACTTATCTTTTAAAGTTAACTAGGAAATATATAATAATAATAATAATAATAATCTTTATTTCGGACCAAAATTAATCCATAGTAGTGTTAGTAACAATTGACTTATAAACTAGTGTTAGTAAACATTAATGTGTGGACAAACTTTTTCAAAATCGGAGAATTATAGTTGATATATACTTTTTTTTATAATATCGGGCTGCGACAAGGATTGTCCAGTTTACAGAAAAACGCCCTAAGGTAGACCCGATATACCTAACACCCACAATGACAAACATGACAAATATGATAGTACTTTTTCAAATATAATATGTAATAATCTAGTTGTATAAAAATAATATATTCCTGATTTAGTATTAAAATGAATAATTATTAGGAGCATTCATAAATACCGATAAAGCGTTATATTGATACTAGCATATCAAATCCACAAATAGAGATTAAACGTTTTCAAGTAGAAATTACTACCTACACCATAATTACGCTGGGTTTGGTCGGATTTGGTTTTCCTTTTTCTCGCTATTCTTTCAGCTATTTCTCTATCGGGACGAGCTTCTGCTATATGGCCATCCATGAGTGCAGTATGCTCTGTTGCTGATGCCTCTGAATCACTACTGGAGTCACTCATTAATGAAAAACTAAAGTCTTAGACATTATGGTAATATATTAAGGGAATATACGTAAAAAATGCAGTTTAAACTCAAATTCGGTACTGATTTTGATAGTTTACTACAAAAAATATGAATAAGCGTAAGGCGTAAGCATTTTCAGATAAACTCTCTCCCTCTCTCCCTTACACTCCTCTTCCTCTCCCTCAAAGTCATAGATTATATAAGGGTATTTTTTTTTTTGGAGTTTATGGCCTGGCATCTAGACCTTTAGGCCAAGTCTTGAGTATTTTTATTCGGTTTATTATAATTTCCCCACTGTATTTTTGATGAATTTATATAGAGGCACGTAATAGGATCTATTTTTTAACATATCACTCAGGCGGCGGGAGGGATCTTGCACTGTCACTTGATTTTGCACTATGTCACTAATTTCACTGACAAGAATCAATCTGTCATGGCTCCAGTACACGTTGGCCGAGCGCGCTCGCCGAGTGCGCTCGGCCAACGTGTACTGGGCCGTTTTGTATATATTTGGCGTTTGCGGCCAACGCTCGCCGACGAGCCATATAGTGTCGGTTTTCCGTGCACAAATCAAAGGAATTTGGTGCAAGCCGCAAACAGTGTTCACACGTTGGCCGAGTGTTCAGTTTATAGTTACGCGTCGGACTGTAGTGTCGGCTTAATAAAATTGTTTGAACATGACGACATGGACTAATGAGGAAATATTTATTTATTTATTTAACAGTTTATGTACACACATAATTCAATAGGAAAATGGTAAAAACATAATTATGTACAAAGGCACTGCCTATTCCATGATGAAATTTCTTCCAGCAGGTCTATTGAAGGATAGTTGAAGGAAATAGAGGTAGTCAAAGTGTGTACTTACATAAATATACATATACAATACAAATATATATACACACACACACGGTGTAAAAAATTTGGCGCTTAAACTTATTACTTCATATTTAAGTAACAGAACTCAAAAAGTCGTCATTAATGGTAAATGTTCCTCCGGATCGGTAGTATCAATGGGCGTTCCTCAGGGCTCGATTCTTGGCCCATTCCTGTTCTTAATCTATATTAATGACTTACCTTATCTTGTAGGGGACAATCACGATATAGTATTATTTGCTGACGATACCTCTTTAATTTTCAAACTGAAACGGCAGTCAATTAAATATGACGATGTAAATAATGCTCTATCGAAACTAGTACATTGGTTTAATGCCAACAATTTGCTCTTAAACGGCAATAAGACAAAATGTATTAAATTTACAATATCTAATGTAAAACATTCGAAAACCAATGTGCTCTTAAATGGAGAGGAGTTGAGTCTTGTGGATACCACTGTTTTTCTCGGTATTACTATTGACGCGAAACTTCAATGGGGCCCCCATATATCTAAATTAGCAAGCAGACTTAGTTCTGCAGCATATGCTGTAAGAAAGATTAGAAGTCTCACAGATGTTGAGACAGCTAGGTTAGTGTATTTTAGTTACTTTCATAGCGTAATGTCTTATGGAATTTTGCTATGGGGTAATGCGACTGATATTGAAGCTATATTTGTTTTGCAAAAGAGAGCCGTACGGGCGATTTATAATCTAAATTGTAAAGAGTCCCTTAGAGAAAAATTTAAAGAAATAAACATATTAACTTTGGCATCGCAATATATTTATGAAAATGTAATGTATGTACATAAAAACATAAATAGCTTTAATAAGAATAAGGATGTTCATACCTTAAACACTAGGAACAAACATAAGCTTGTAATGCCACTTACAAGACTCCACAGAATTAGTAATTCATTTATGGGGCAATGTATACGCTTTTACAACAGAATCCCAGAACATGTTCAAAGTTTGTCAATAAACAAGTTTAAAAGTTTTATTAAAGAAAAACTGTACAAAAAGGGTTATTATAATATCAAGGAATACATGAGTGAAAATAACCCCTGGGAATAAGGTGATCGCCACCATGCTGGTTCTATGAAAATTCATTTAAAATTGTATAATCAAAATTATTGTTAAGTGAAATTATGTTTAAAAAAAAAGTCCCGCTGGGTTTCTTGCTGGTTCTTCCCAGGACAGAGGTATTTTCCGAACCAGTGGTAAATAAAATAGTGACTTTCAATAAGTATTATGTAATAATCCATATTGAATAAAAATCATTCTATTCTATTCTATTCTATTCTACACACACACACACACGTATATATGTTATATATACGCATGTATATATATAAATAAATATTATATATTATGAAAAATATATAATTCAACATAATATATTTTTAATGTTACTTATATGCATACCAACACATTACGATTTAATAATTATGGAGTGAAATATTGATTCATTGTTCATTGATTGATTCTCACAATGAATCAGTTATATGGAACCCCAAATATGAGCAACATAAAAATAAAACCAGAGTAAGTAAATTGCCTAACTGCATTAAATAATACATGTTTAGTTGCGGTTTCAGAGTACCTACCTAATGATAAATATTATTATAAATTATCTCTGCGTTTATGTTGCTCAGGGATAATGTAGCTTAAGGGCTTCTTTTGGGCTATCATTTATTTTTAAAAAACCCCCAGCGAAGCGGGCACGGGTCAGCTAGTAGATCCTATAAAGGTTTCTTTTTCCTTTTGAGGTCGGAACCCTAAAAAGGACAAACTGGGATCATTGTTGTATGTGTAGTTTTTTTTTCGTTCACTCTGAGAAGAGTGAAGCGCTGTATAAGTATATGACAGCGGCCGCGATTGCCCTAACGTCCATCATCATCTAGCTACCAACGCAGAATGAAACACGCCAACGTGTGAACGGCACCACGAAAATCTGCCGAGTGCGCTCGCCAAGCGCGCTCGGCCAACGTGTACTGGAGCCATCAAATGAAAAGCACTCACATGTAAATATGAAATGTTCGATATCACCAACAGAATTATTGCAGAAGGTGCAGTAACTGCTCTCCACTATGCCCAATCGAGCCAGGTGGGCCGGGACGGTGGAGTGACCAAAGCGCAGTCTATTTATAGTGGTAACAAAGTCCCGACTGGCCATTTTCAGTTTGTTATACCATGGTGCTACAGGTAGTTTTTCTTGAACAGTTCCATACCATTTACCCTTCTGTTCTTGATCTTGTTTCCAAAATTCGATCCATAAGCTATTGACCTGGTTGTCAATAGATTGATAACAGTCGGTCAAAGGTACTTTTACTATGGAGCTAACATCCAACATGTTGGTTCCATCACGTGCAATTTTATCTACTATCTCATTTCCTGTTATGCCCCTATGTGATGGAATCCACATGAAAGAGACCTGTATACCCTTTTTTGCATAACTAAATAACATTTTTTTAATATTATACAAAATATAGTTTTTTTTTAAAGTCAAATCTGAGATTAGTTAAACTTTGGACCATACTTAAACTGTCTGTTAAAATTAAAAAATTATTAAAACTATTTATATGTGCAATCCTCTTCAGGGCCTCGAGGGCCGCATATACCTCTGCAGTGAAAACACTGCATTTAGGGTCCAGAAGAAAACTTTGACCAAACTTGCATTGTGGATCATAAACGGCACTGCGCACAAAGAGCTCACTTTTGCTACCATCTGTATACAAAGTATAGTAGTTATTGTCGGAAATAAAACTTAATAATTCACAATTATTAAAAAAATTTTTGGTAACAATATTGGTCTCAAATATAATACAGGAATATGGGTATGTGTAGCATGTCCACTTTGATTGTTTAATTACATTTTTAAAATCTTCATTCATTTGCTGTACAATGAGAGGCAAAACTGGGAAATAACCTTGTAAAAGCCACCTCCCGAAGTCAGCTGGACCGAGCATTGTAAAGGAAAAGGTACTATTTTTTTGAGAACATTATCATTACCAGATACCAGCTTTAGTAAATATCTCTCTATTAGCAGAAGTCTTCTAAGACACAGTGGCATTATTTTGGTTTCAACTTCCATAGCTCGTATGGGAGTTGAACACATAGCCCCAGAAATAATTCGCAGAGCTTTGTTTTGAATTATGTCTAGTTTTTTTACACAACTACTATTTGAGTAGGCTAAACAACTGTAGTCGAAATGGCTTCTGACTATAGATTTATATAGCATACTTAAAACTTTGGGGTCTGCACCCCAAGTCACACCAGCTAAACATCTTATAATATTTAAGCCCTTAAGAGAGTTAGTTATAATGTGATTGATGTGTAAATTAAAACAAAGTTTGTTATCAATGACAACACCCAGGAATTTATGGTTAGATACAACTGAAATTGGATGATTATTGTAGAGTATGCCATTAGAGGGAAAATGTTTACTAAAAATCATGGCCTTGCTTTTGTTAGGATTAATCTGTAGAGCCAACTTGTCATTATAATATATGTACAATTGCTCTAAAGCATTATTTATACTATTTACAGCTCTATCTACATTATGGTCTGTACAATATATTACAAGATCATCCGCAAATTGTAAAATATTTACACCTTCTATATTTACAAAATTAAGAATTTGACTAGTGTATATGTTGTACAACAATGGAGATAATGTAGCCCCCTGCATTGTACCTTTGGAGACCCTTCTGGGACCATGGAGAATATTATTATGCCTTATATACAAAGTTCTATCTATTAAAAAATTAAATAACCAATGGCAAAGTATGCCTGGTATACCAATGTCAGAAAGAACTTGAACCAAAATGCCAGGATCTACATTATCAAACGCACCTTCAATATCCAGAAAAACACAAACACTGGACTTATTATTATTATTGGCATATTTCAGATCTGACAAGAGAGAGATGAAGCTGTCAGCACAACTTCTGCCTCTCCGGAAGCCATATTGAACATGTGGAATGATGTTGTTCGCCTCTACATAACACTCAAGACGCATCTTTATCATGTTTTCATTAAGCTTTCCAACACAAGATGACAAAGATATAGGACGATATGAATTAGGATCTTCAGGTGGCTTGTCAAGCTTAAGTAGAGGGATT